TTCCTTGTTCACATGACAATATAGAGACAAAAAAACTTTGGAACTTTGGTGTTTAAAACAGTCCCAATTCCTGCTAGTCTTTTCATCAGCCTTTGTAGAGAAACAGAAGTATTCTTCTGCTAATCTATGGAGTTTTTCCCAAGAAAACTATTTCTGTTATAGCTTTCTATTTTTCTGATGCCAGCTGCCCAGAAATCTCTCATCAGATTTTTTCCACCCATTTCACATTACTCTGAGGTGTGTTATGGGTCAATGAGTCTAGGGATGTCGTTTTTAAGGATGAGTTATTCAAAGGTAAAAGTTCTCTTCATCTGTCTCTGTGAGCTTCTCTGGAAACAGAAATTTTCTCATTGCCTCTCAAGGCTTCAAATCTTCAACTATTACTTCACCTCACTCTGTTCCAGCACCTCACTGTGTCACAATTACTCCACCATTTGCTCAAAATCCACAATCCTTTTGCTCAGCCCAGCCCCTGCTGGGGCCGCATGGCCTGGGCAGGGGACGGGAAGCCAGCTGGAGCTCTGTTACCTTTCACAGCCAGGAAACAAAGAGACAAAGAAATTCCCAGGCTTAGGTCTTAAGGTGGTGTTCACAGGTTGATCTCACTTTTCAATGGTTAAAACTGCTGTCAATTCTGAAATGGCTAGCTGTTGGCTAGGAGACAAAGTCCCATCAGCCGCCAGCAGTTTTAACTTTCTTCGGTGTTTCTCTTTATTTTCTTAAATGCCAATCTATCTCAACACTTCTTGGGGGGAAGCTGGGGAAGTTGCTGCCTTGGACAGTGCTTCATGTCCCTCACATGCCTCCTCCAGGTGCCAGTTATTGTAAGGAATATTCACCAGAGTCTGCTGTCCCATGTCACTGTGGATGCCAGGCAGCAAATTGACATTATAAGGCTGGCTGAAAAACATCCTGTTGATGTGGTGCTGACTCTCCTGCGCTGTGCCCCATCATGTGACAGGTATGGGGCCCACGTGCCTTGAGAGCTCAGGGCTCACCAGCCTTTAGGGCCCATCGCCCTGCACAGCCTGTCCAATGGGCTCTGCCCAACAGGCAGAGAAGTCCAGGAGCCTCGGGCCCCTCTGTTTCCTGAGGTTGCTACCAGTGCTCCCTCCCTGCCCCTCAGGGCACCAGGACTTTGTCACTTGGGGCCCCACTGCTGCACAGGTCATGGTGACTGAGACACCCCTGACACAGAGCTCTGATTCCACAGAGCTGCTGAAATGATGTGGAGAGCCATAGGCTCGTCAGGACCAACAGTGGAGAAAGTGCTGCCAGCACTGCTCTGTGTGATGGAGAACTGGCCACTTTGCAGCATCTGCACCTCTGATGGAGACAACAAGGATGTTTTTCCCCTGACTGTGAGTTTCTGGATCTGGCTGTTGATCAACCATTGGTTGCTTCTCCAGCAGCTCTCCATCCTCTCCCTGCTTCAGTTCCTGAGCTGAAGCCTGCTGCTTCCCCTGTGCCTCCCCTTGGGCCCTGCCCCATGGACACCTCGGCACTGAGCACTGTCTTTGGGTGCTTCTTTTGCAGGCAACTCTGGTGCTCTGGCTGATTATCCAAGTGCCTCAGTGCCACAAGGCAATGATGCTTTATTCCGTTCGCCTGTTTGCGGCTCTGCTGTTCCAAGTTGTCATTACCACCCAGCAGATGCCACCAGTGGAAATTGACTGCTTCTGGAGAGCGTGTCGGGAGCAACACCGCCTTCCCAGCAAACCCAACAGGTCCCAGTTCTCCTGTCCTTCCCATGCCCTTGTAGCTGGCACCAGTGCTCCCAGTGTGACCTGGGCTTTGCTCTGCACACAGGTTTGCAGTGCAGGCCATGAAGGCTCTGCTCTGCCAACTGCGGTGTGACAATGTGGTGATGCAAATGGAATGGCAGCGTGGCTGGGTCATGATGCTCTGTGCTGACACCCAGCAGTATGCCATGAGTCTGCTGGCCAGGTGAGATCCCCTTCTCACCACTGCCTCTTAAATTGTGCCCTGTGCTTGGGGTGCCTCACACAGTCCCTGTGGTTCTCGGACAGAGGGCCTTGTCACTGAGGTATGGCCAAGCAGACTGGAAAAGGCTGAGAGAAGAGGGTGCCCAAAAGGAGCCACCTCCCAAAGCACCCCCATCCCCTCCAGTGTGAGGAAAGACTGGATCTCTGTGAATCAGTCACAGTTTGTTGCCCCTCCAATTCAGGGTCTTGGTGCTTTTTCACCCCTGACAGGGAGATGCACGGTGCCTCCCTCTCTTTGTGTTCCTGCATTGCACTCCGCCTGCTCCGGCTACTCAGCAGAGAGGAGCCACCCTGGGATCTGCCCTTCTTGGCATTCCTTGTGGAGGTGAGCCTGATGGCCAGAACTACCTCGCTCAGCTCCCTGCCAGCCCTGTCCCCTTGCATAGCTGCAGCTGCCTGGAAAGGTGCCCGTGCCCTGTGCTGCTGCCTCGGCCCAGCCCTGCACAGTTCCGGGCTCCTGCCAGCTGGGTCCCCTGTCACTGCCCTGTGCCTTTCAGGTCCTGGATTGCCTGGACTTGCATGAATGTAGTCACAGCATATGGGAGATTATTTCAAGGCACCTGCAGAGTGAAGGCAGGCAGAGGCATCACCTGGCACTCAGAGGCCTTGTGGTGCTCAGCGAGTATCCCTTGATGGTGAGAATGGGGCAGCAGCTGAAACTGTGCTGGGGAAAGCAGCCCCTTGGGCTGGCTGGGCTTCAGGAGCTGAGGCAGCTGCTCCCAGCTCTCCTGCTTCACCTGCCTGAGTGCATTGGGACAGCCTTTGGCCTCTGGGCCTGGCAGCAGCAGGGTGGGGTTGCAGTGCCAGGGTGGTGTTGGTGCTGCAGCTTTTCATGGCTTCCCAGCACAGCCTTGTGTTCCACACAGGCCAGACTTATATGCAGCCAGTCTCAAAGCCTTCTGGAGCTGCTGGGTGATACAAATGAAGATGTAGTCAGCATGTCCCTCTCTGTGCTCACAAATATGCTCCAAAACAAATACATCCTGATATCCAGCACTACTGCCCCAAAGCTGGCTGAGGCACTCCTGCTGCTCTTTGACCACGTAAGTCTCTGTGCCCCCTGCCTCGGGCATTGGCTGCTGCCCAGAAACTGTGCCCTGTGGATTTTTTGGCCATTGTTCAAGTGAGCCTGGAGTAGTTGAACCTGAGTTTTTTCCTGTCCTCCAGTACAACAGCCATGTGCAGCTGCTCTCCCTTGGCCTTTTCTGCAAGGTGATGGATTTGGTAGTAGCTGCGGGAAAAAAGCCCCTTGAGTCAATCTTGTGCCAGAACCTGTGTCCACTTTTATTCCACTGCCATGATGAAAACCGGCATGTGGCAGAGGTGAGGAGTCGTGGGCTGCTGGTGTCCCCCTGGTAAAGGTCTTAGCTGCCTCCTGCCCATGTAACCTCCAAGGCTGCAGCCTCCTCCTGGCCTTCTCAAAGGGGCACGTAACACGTGTCCTGGACTGTGGTACCATCTCTGCATCTCTGCTGCTCTCCAGGCCTCTCGGGAAACGCTGCTTCATGTGGCCAAGTTCCTAAAGAGGAGAGATCTCAAGCAGCTGGTGAAAAAAGACAAGATGTTGGAGTTTTCCAAGTGTCTGGTAAGGACGGCCTGGAGAAGCCTCAACTTGGAGAAGCCTCAACTTTGAGAAGCCCCCCGGCCCCAGCACTCAGTGTGTGGGGCTGGCAGCAGTGACCCCTGGCCGGTGCTGCACCCAGGGGCACCAGCCTGCGCCCCACACGCTGCTCCCTTCCCTGGGCCGCACGGCTTCTTCTCCAGGCTCCTGTGGCCCCGAGCCGGGTGCCAATGGAGCCCCAGAGTGGGGC